CCCCCCGCCATGGCTTAGCTATGCGCTTGAGATTGCAAGTCTTAAACAGGTGAATTTTGATTGTCCCGATCCTGGAAAGTGTAGGCTCAAGCAACAGCAGCAGTCATACCTCCCATCCCGGCCGTCGGGGAGAGTCGAGGTGAAAGCCCCCTTGGTAGGGGGACCGTGGGGGTTAGACCGCTCTAAACCCGAAAAAGGCGGTAGTTTGGGTGGTTGGGGTGGGATCCGCTGCACCGAGGCGGCCCGACCCGCCACCACTCCCTGGCGGGTCGGGACCGCGGCACTTCGGAACACCCTAAACCCTAAACCCCAAACCCTAAACCCTAAACCCGAGAATAGCATGCCGTTGGAGCTCGGGGATTCGGCTTCAGGATGTTCAGGGTTTGTGTATTGGACAAGACTTAGTACGTAGCTGTTAAGTGGGTCTAGGGTTTAGGGTTTAGGGTTTAGGGTTTAGGGTTTAGGGTTACCCCAATTCCCCAATCGAGGTCCCTGTTCAGGACCTATAGCTCTGCCTTAGACCCCCAAGAAGGTTTCGAGCTTGGCGATGAGGATGATGAGAGCTTTTTGGGGGTTAGGGGATCGGTATTCAGGGTTTCAGGCTTTTTTAGGGTTTAGGGTTTCAGGCTTTTTTAGGGTTTAGGGTTTAGGGGTTTAAGGGTTTAAGGGTTTACGGGTTTAAGGGTTTAAGGGTTTTGGGGCGTTTAGGGGTTTAAGGGTTTAAGCGTTCAGGGTGTTTAGTTAACTATACTTGCCATTGTCAGATCCTGCCCAAATCACCCCGAGATCCTCACCCAGTAACCTACATAGCAGTAACCTACATAGAAGGTTAATGCGTTACGGGTACTATAACCTAAACCCAGACCCTAAACCCAAAACCCAAAACCCTAAACCCTAAACCCTAAACCCTAAAGTTTAGGATTTAGGATATCGGCATGGGCTCGCAGGGCTTCCTTACAGTTGCCCCGCTGAGCCCTGCTCCCTGTATTCCCTAACCTTAAGGGTTTAGGGTTTAGGGTTTAGGGTTTAGGGTTTAGGGTTTAGGGTTTAGGGTTTAGGGTTTAGGGCCTCTTGAACCCTGCATGCTACATACATCCTAATTTCATTCTAGCCCAAAGAGTAACCCAATACTGGAAAGGGTGCCCTTTTTGGGCTTGAGGCGCGGCTTCTAAGGGAGCCTAAACCCTGAAAGGCAATAAGGGTCTTCTACTCTGGGTCGTCGAATTCTCTTAAGCCGGAAAGTCTACAACCCACGACGTGAAATCACCTCAAGCCCTTGTTAAACCCCGTAACTAGAAGCCGAAAAGCCCTTATGCAGCCCCACGGCACCCGTCTGAGCCTTGACAGTCCGCTTGAAGAACCTCCTAACAATCAGAAACTCAGCAACAGAAAAGGTCAAGAAACAAAAACATTAAAAAAGGCAAACTGAACAAATCACAATAAAATAACATAAACAATAGTAAAAAAAACACATAAAAACTAAATAACAATCATAGAACAGTAATATTCATAACAATAATCACAAGTAGTCAATATGATAATAATAATAACAATAGCAATCATAATAATACTAATAATAAGCCGCCAGAAATACACACAACTTTCGTCAAGGCTGCTCGCAGGACTTGCGGGCGTCATGCTGTCTACAGGCCCGGCAGCTTCCATGGCCAAGCAGGCCTGTACTTAGTCTTTGTTTTGCTTATTTCCCCCAGGGTTTAGGGTTTAGGGTTTAGGGTTTAGGGTTTCAGGGTATAAGGGTTAAAGGGTTTAGGGTTGGGTTTCAAAGGGCAGTGCCCAGAGACTCCAACACCCCTTAATCCTTAATTAAGGAATATATCCCTTGCATTACAACAGGAACCAACATATGATTTAAGGATTTTCCCTCATTAAGGGAAAATCCCTTCTTGAATTCTAATAGGAACCCTCATATGATTCAAAGTCTATATGCCTTAATAAGAGAGAGGTGTTGGGAGTCTCTGACCCCTTCGGTGCTGCTGATCCGGAGCCGACCCTCTCGACTTCCCAGGCGAAGCTTCAAACACAACCTCTTCGGGCTTGCGGGTTTAAGGGTTCAGGGGTTCATGACTGCGGGGTTTAGGGCAGGGGTTTGGGAGTTTGGGGTTTGGGGGGCTGTGGGGTTTAGGGGCCGAAGGGTTTAGGTGTTTAAGGTTCCGGCGAGATCGCACAGCTCTTGGACGCCCTTTTGTGGCTCCTGCTCGCGTTGGCGATCCAGGCACAGATTCGCGTTTCCGAATCCACCAAGGTGGTTCAGGGTTCTAGGGTTTAGGGCTAGGGTTTAGGGTTTAGGGTTTAGGGTTCAGGGCTTGGAGTTTAGTGGTTCAGGGTTCGGGGTTCAGGGTTTGTGGCTTACTCCAGGCTTGCTTGCCTCAGCGAGGTGGAGATGGATTCCGCTGTGGGTGAAACGGGACCTAAGCCCTCGACTAGGGCCCCTCTCCTTAATGGGGATGACACGGGCTCCGATGCAAACCCTAAAATAAAGGAACAAGGGCACCTACTGCGCATCTTAAGCAACCCCAAACCCTGAACCCTAAACCCTGAACCCTTAACCAGCCTAAACCCCTTAATAAGGGCTGAATAAGTGTACCTACTGGGCATCCTAAAAGCAGATTGTTGTTCCATGCATCCGAGGGCGGATCACTTGTTCGTCCGCTGGCGAGGTTGCGTCTCGCGCTCCCCGCCCAGCAACGCGGACATCTGAGGCAGATATGTATCATCATAAAACTATAGGTTGTATGATTCTAGTACATTTTCTATAATCAGATTGTTGTATTCATGTGTGAAATTAGTAGTCATAGATTGTTATGATTTATGTGCATATATTGCTATATTGCTACAGTCGAATATTCCTACATGGTCATATTCGTGCTATATGAATATTCGAATTACTAAGATACTTCTCATATTCTCACTACAGTGTTATAGTTAAAAACTACCATGAAAACTATATAAATATATACACATACAAATTTATATTTATTGTTAGATGGTGATTAATTACTATTTGTTACTACTATTTTATTATTATTACTACCAGTATTATGATGATTATATTAATATATGAGCATATCATTACATATAGTCACATATTTTGATTAATTATTTTGAGTCCATTTTTACATTACTATATTCCCCCCCCCCCCCCCCCCCCCCCGCCCCGGCAGAACCAAGCGACCAGCAACAAGCAGAGCGGGGGCTAGGGTGAGGGTAGTGGAGTGTCTGGATGGGTCATGAACTAGGGCTGGAGGCGCTAGAGGAACCCTGTTGAGGGTTTGAGGGTTGAGGGGTTGAGGGGGGTTTAGGGTTTAGGGCTTAGGGGTTTTACCCTAAACCCTAAACCCTAAACCCTAAACCCCAAACCCTAAACCCTAAACCCTGAACCCTGAAACCCGGCACGCTGAACCTGACTGTCACTCCGCCCCCCGACCTCGGCCAGCGCTTGGCCGTACTTGTCCAGGCTGCCGTTGTACATCCGAGCGGTGTAGTTCTCGGCAGGCAGCCGTACTAGGTTCAAAAGCAGTTCCTAAATTTAAATACGGTCCTCTGAAAAGGGTTTAGGGTTTAGGGTAGGTTCAAAAGCAATTCCTAAATATGATCCTCTGAAATTCTGAAAACTCAGTCATCAGTGAAAGTGCGAAACATTCAAAGGGCCTACCCAGCATAATTCTTTGGCAGGGTCGGGGAAGTTTTTGGGTTTGGATGTGGGATCCCTGCCATGGAAACTTCACAGATCTCTATCGGCTTCTGATATCTCAGTCAAGTTCGTTCGGGGCCCCTAAACGCTAACCGCTAAACCCTAAACCCTAAACCCTAGACCCTAGACCCTAAACCCTACAGTAAACCCTAACCCTAACCCTACACCCTTGCAGCTTTTGAGTTCACAGGCTCAGCAGGCTGTGTAGTTTAGGGCTTGGATATTCATCGGTTTTTGTAGTTGAAGTTTTCAAGGGCTCTTCGGTTGAATTATGGGGTGGGTTCGAGATTCTGTGATGAGGGTTGAGGGCTGAGGGAAATCCAATGAATGAGCAAAAGGACATCTTGCAAATCATGGTGCTAGTTGGTGGTATCAGTTCCAGCACACTAGGTCGGCCCCAAGCTGCAGTGATGGGTTGTTCTACATCTGGGTGCGATTCCTTCAGAAACAGCCCCCCCCCCCCCCCCCCCCCCCCCCCCTCCCCCCTAAACCCTAAACCCTAAACCCTAAACCCTAAACCCTAAACCCTAAACCCTAAACCCTAAACCCTAAACCCTAAACCCTAAACCCTAAACCCTAAAATGGGACGCCAAATTGGAATCGCCCCGCTGCAAGGGCAGGGATGGATATGGATGCAGGAGCAGAGCCTTAAAAACCCTAGTAAGGGCTAGGTTGAGGGGAATTTAGGGTTTAGGTTTTAGGGTTTAGGGGGTTTAAGAGGGCAACCAAGTGAAAACGTTGGAGCTTCGGCGGAGGGAACAACACAGCTATGGGTGAGGAGTCCCAGTCAACCGCTGATGCTGAGCGCTCACCCTAAACCCTAAACCCTAAACCCTAAACCCTAAACCCTAAACCCTAAACCCTAAACCCTAAACCCTAAACCCTAAACCCTAAACCCTAAACCCTAAACCCTAAACCCTAAACCCTAAACCCTAAACCCTAAACCCTAAACTGGACGTCTCGGCAACAGCTGAAAAACTTGACGTGAAGTCCGCACCCTTCAAGGAAACCCAGTACTCCCTACTAGGGCCGCGTAAGCTTCCTCAAGTTCCTTCTAGGTGGTTTAGGGTTTAGATTTTGGGTTTGGGGTTTAGGGTTTAGGGCCTCGCCCCCCTTTTATAGACCTTCCTGCCTTAAGGACCTTAGAACTGACTAGTTCTTAGTACCTTACCCCTATACAAGACTATTTGGGCGTTCTGTGGAGAGCCAGGGTTTGGGGTTTGGGGTTAAGCCAATCGCAACACCTCTGACAGTCCTTAACACTAAGTATTCTTTCTTAGCTTGAAGTTCAAGCACCTGCAAATTTCCACCGCAACACTTACTTCTCACACTACCAATCCTAATACTCTTAGCAGTGAACACCGGCCCGACATCTTTGAGCACCCGGCGGATGATGTGATGGGAGCCGGGCCTTCCTTCTCCAAGACGCTGAGGTACCAGTCGCCTCAGGCAAAAAAGCTCTCGGAAGCGTGCATCAGGGGCCCAATTTCCCTCGGTCAAGGTCTCCTTGCATGGGGCACCCCTGACGCAACACTTACTCTCCAGCCACAACGTTCGGCAAAACAGTCAATCTTGCTTACTCTCTAGCCACGACGCTCGGCAAAACAGAGAATCTTGAACTTGAACTACCGTTGTGCTCCGCAAGCAAGCGCATCGATAAATTCTGCATGACTTTCACTCCCGGTTTTCTGAGCACTGCATCCCAAACCCTAAACCCCAAACCCTAAATCCTAAAGCCTAAGCCCTAAACCCTAAACCGACCTACAGCCTTTGTACTTGGGGACGTATAGGACTGAATAAAACCGACACCATCTGAAGCCCCCCTGCCATCCAAGGGTACGGAAAGAGCCATCCTACTTCTGAGGGCGGCGCAGAATAAGCTGCTCATAAACACAAGAAGGGGCCGCTAACAAATGCCCTAACCAGGATGGCCCTTAAAATCCTCTGAACAACTTTCCAAATTAAATATGATCCCCTTAAATGCAAGGGCCTACCTAGCTAAATCCTAATCTGCTACTTCCCCATATCCCGAGGTCCTACCTTTACAAACCATCGCGAAGGCGGCCCAGCATGAGTTTAGGGTTCAGGGTATTCTAGTGTCAATGCTGGGTGATCTTTATGGTATATCTCTCCTGTCATTGGGTGTACTCTACCCGAAACAATTCAGATCAACCCCGCACGCGGCAGACGGCAGTCTCAAAGTAGAGGGGTGTGGTCAAGTAGAAGGGGCATTTCGGTCGCTTCATACCGCCATACAACGATGTTATGCTTCTATGGGTAGTGTACAGGGAAACCCTCAACCCTAAACCCTAACCCCTCAACCCTCCACTCTCAACCCTAAACCCTAAACCCTAAACCCTAAACCCTAAACCCTAAACCCTACACCCTTTTAGACTCCTGTAATTCCCCATGCGCCGGGTCAGCGGCGGTCAAATTTGGACTGGCTGGGCGACCTGCTCCGGTAGCAAACCGCCAAACCCAGGGCTTAGGGCTTAGGGCTTAGGGCTTAGGGCTTAGGGCTTAGGGCTTAGGGCTTAGGGCTTAGGGCTTAGGGTTTAGGGTTTAGGGTTTAGGGTGTAGGGTTTAATCTCGGACATAAACGCGTAAGGCCCTGCAAAACCCAGAACCCTGAAGGTCTAGGGTTTCAGAAGAGACAGTACTGAGCGCTTGTTGTATGAGAGACTTGCGAGCACGCTCGTTTGTATGGCACCAGAATGGGTTTAGGGTTTAGGGTTTAGGGTTCAGCACCCTAACCCCTGAACCCTCACCCATCGGCGCACTCCATCTTTATTCCAAGACTAGAGGAGTTTTTGAAAACATTACCAAACAGTATCACACACACACACAGAAGGGGTACTTGGTCAATTCTTGAAACACATACATGATTGGCAATGGGGCTCTCCAAAAGACCATAGCAACTGTAGAGACCTGACCCTAAACCCTAAACCCTACACTGTGGGTAAACCTATGGGTAGAGCTGAACCACGCCGCGTTCGGGATTCATGGACCCTCTAAACCCCCAGACCTTTAGGGTTCTGGTATGCGGGCGTTTAACCCTAAACCCGAAACCCTAAACCCTAAACCCTAAACCCTAAACCCTAGGGCTTCAAGCCTTCACTCAGGGCTGTTAAAGTTGAGGGGCTGCTCCGCTCAACACCCAGGCACCAGACCCTCGACCTCTGAGGGCTGGCGACAATGATGATACATCTGTTGGAAAGGAGACAGGTGTAGGGTTTCTTTTTAAAAACTTTTGCTGAATAGGGTCTAGGGTTTAGGGTTTTCGGGTCTGTAGGGGTTTATAGGGCTTATAGGTTTGGAGGGTTTATGGGTTTATGGGGTTATGGGCTTTATAGGGTTTATCGAACTTATCGAACCTTGTCCCCCGAAGCCCTCAGCCCGAAACCCGGTCTGAGACCCATCAGCACCCCTGCCAAGCAAATAATTGTTTGATTTTCATTCAGGTTGCCTTAACCCTCCCTGCCTGTAGAACGCCTGTGCTCGGCGCTTGGCCAGCATTCCAGGCTGTCCACCCCCGACACGGAGGGAGTCTCCCTGAGGTGTTGCGCTAAGCTCCCCTAAACTCCTCTAAGCCTGACCCTTAACCCTAAACCCTAAACCCTAATTGTAACCCGCAATTTGACACCCTTTGCAGTTGTTCGGTGAAGTCTGGGAGGTGTTTCGCGTTTGAAGTGCTTTCGGCTTCAGGGTTGTAGCCCTGAACCCTAAACCCTAAACCCTAAACCCTAAACCCTAAACCCTAAACCCTAAACCCTAAACCCTAAACCCTAAACCCTAAACCGACGAGTACTGCAGTTGGCTTCGAGCTGAAGGCGCTTCACTCCATTAAGCCTGAAGCCTTAAACCTCTACCCTCAAAGTCGGACCCGTTCATCCCCCACCCTGAAGGTTCGGTTTAGGGTTTAGGGTTTAGGGTTTAGGGTTTAGGGTTTAGGGTTTAGGGTTTAGGGTTTAGGGTTTAGGGTTTAGGGTTTAGGGTTTAGGGTTTAGGGTTTAGGGTTTAGGGTTTAGGGTTTAGGGTTTAGGGTTTAGGGTTTAGGGTTTAGGGTTTAGGGTTTAGGGTTTAGGTTTTAGGGTTTAGGGTTTAGGGTTTAGGGTTTAGGGTTTAGGGTTTGGGGTTTGGGGTTTAGGGTTTAGGGTTTATGGTTTAGGGTTGAGGGTTGAGGGTTGCGGGTTGAGGGTTTAGGGGTTAGGGGACCCCTAATAGGGCGACATTCATGCTCAGCGTACAGGGGTCTAGGTTGACGCAGGGCCCCCAAGCACGCCCCCCCCCGAAACTAAACTTGCTGGACAAAAAATTCCACTCGGGTGTTTTCTCTGTTCAACAAGAATATTCTATCAGCCACCTCTAGACCAAGCATAAACCTCCGCAGCCTGGCTCTTGTTAGCTTAGCTCGCTATGGAATGCGTTTCACTTATCATGTCAATTGCATGGTTTCTGTAACCCAGCACAAAGATGACTTCAGCCGAAACCAAACCTGATCCCAATATGCCAAAGAAAACCTCGAATCAACCATCCACCCAAACCTACCAACATCACACAACCGCACAGCCCCGAACTCATCCCTGCTCGCCCCTCCCTAGGACCCTAAACTGAACCGGGAAACAAGCCACTAAACCCTAAACCCTAAACTCTAAACCCTTAACCCTAAACCCTAAACCCTAAACCCTAGACCCTAAACCAGACTCCAACTGCTCAGTGCTTTGCTGTATGAAGCCGCGAGCTTGAGAGCGACCGCGATCTCCTGAGCTTTACAATCGGGTTTAGGAAGCTTATGGTTTCGGGAATTTTGTATCCGTATATATACCTCAAACCTAGCATATTTCATCTTGTGAGGCCCCCCCCCCCCCCCCCCCACTTCAGAGTAACGAGGGTTTAAGGCTTAGGAGTTTTGAACCCGAAACCCTAAACCCTAAACCCTAAACGCTCATCCCTAAACCCTAAACCCTAAACCGTGGGGTACCCCATTTATCCCCAAATAGATTAGAATCCCCTAAAAGTGACACCCACAAAGGGTACCCCTATTTTCGGAAACCCACGTTCTCGAAACTAGAGTCCCTTTTGGGCTCGGTACTAGAAAGGGCGCCCAAGAAGGACCGTAGCATTGGTGGTTTAGGGTTTCGGGTTTCTGGCTTAGGGGAAATCCTTTCAACTTGAAGCTCCGAACATTGCAGTGCCTGAGCCCCTGACAGCGACTGATTGGCGCTGGAGGCTTTCGATCCAGTCTGTGAAGCAGCACAAGGGTTTAAGGTTTAGGGTTTAGGGTTTAGGGTTTAGGGTTTAGGGTTTAGGGTGGGATTTCAGCAGCACGTTCCTTAACCAACCCTAAGCCCTGGACCCAACACAACTATCAACCGACTCCCGCCAAACAAACCCTAAACCCTAAACCCTAAACAATAAGCCCTAAACCCTAAACCCTAAACCCTAAACCCTAAACCCTAAACCCTAAACCCTAAACCCTAAACCCTAAACCCTAAACCCTAAACCCTAAACCCTAAACCCTAAACCCCAGAAGCCACAGGGTTGAGGGTTCCGTGGTTCGTGTTTAGGGTTTCTGGTGCAGGCTCTTCTTTTTCCAGGGCTTGGGGGCTTGGGGGTTTTTCGCGGTTGCCCTGCAAGCCTACCCTTTAAAACAAACCCTCAGCCCTGAACCTTAAGCCTACAAACCCCGAGCCCTAAACTTTAAGCCCGCAACCTGAAGCCCTAAACCCTAACTCCGAAGCCCTAAAACCTAATCCTGAAGCCCCAAACCCTAAAACGCGAGATTCCCAAGCCCTGGTAGACTACTCAAAAAGACATGATTAAGATCATAATTAAAACATTAACAATAACAAATCCCCTGGGGTCTTAGTAGGGAATGAGGGAATTGGGCCCATATATATATATGTATATATATATATATATATATACCCTTGAGGGATGCTATAGGGAACCTCATTCCCTCATTCCCTATAAGAACCGGCCAGCATTACAGTACCCCGTATTACAATCCCTATGAAGGGCTGTTAGTCTAGGGGGGAACATCCCAAATTATAACAAACCCTACATAAACCCTAAACCCAAAACCCTAAACCCTACACCCAGGAGGCCTTTCGGCTCGCCGCCGTGCTGGGCAGCGTGAAGACGGAGCGCGTGTCGTCGGAGGCCACGCTTCCGGACCTGGCACTGGCTTTTAAGGGAGCACCCTGGAACCCCAAACCCTGTAACCCTAAACCCTATAACCCGGCAAAATTAACCCTATAACCCCAAACCCTAAACCCTAAATAAACCCGAAACCCCTAAACCTTAAACCCTAAACCCTACCTCCTGAGACTCATGGAGAAGGAGGTGCAAAGATCCAGCGAGCAAGACCCCTCTACTTCAACAATGGAAGGCTCAGGATTTAGCGAGCTTCGGGTCTTTCGGGTCTCAGGGTGTAGTTCAGGGTTTAGGGTTTAGGGTTTAGGGTTTAGGGTTTAGGGTTTAGGGTTTAGGGTTTAGGGGTTTAGGGCAAGTAGTCCTGAAAACCCGTAGGCTCCAACCCAGAAACCCGGGCTCCTCCCCCGGCCTCTCCAAGGATTGGCTGTAGGCGTTCAGGGCCATCTCATGCAAGAGCCTCTTGGACCTGGCTTAAGGTTGAGGCTTTAGGGTTTAGGGTTTCGGGTTTAGGGTTTCGGGTTTAGGGTTCAGGGTTTAGGGTTCAGGCTTTAGGGTTTGGGGGGGGGGGGGGGGGGGGTTATGACCGCAAGCTTCTGCATACCCTAAGCCCCAAAACCCAACGCCTCAATCCGAAGCCCTAGCCCCTACCTAGAGCTTGCTTATGGGCGAGGGAGAGCGAGGGCTCTACTCCCAACTTTCATAGCTGAGTTGGGCCATGCAGGTCTTCTCCAGATTCTGAGTGGGGCGACGGGCCAAAGCAAGTGCCTGAGAGGCACATCGACTTGCTCTGAGACACGCATCTCCGTGAACTCCAGCTTTGAAGAGCGTGGAACAGTGGGGGGGGGGTGTAGGGTGTATGTATGAAGAACAACCAAAACGAAAGCAACTGCAAAATGGCAGCCGCATTCTACGCGCAAGTTCAAGTACAACTAAGAGACACTTGTGAAGCAGGCAACAGCTACGAAGAACTGCTTGACTGCCCAAGCAAACCTTAACCAAGCTTTGGGCACGAATCACCTGAAAGGGTTGTAAGTTTAGGATTCAGGACTTATGGCTATGGGGTTTGGTCTGACTTAGACAACAAGTTCAACTTATCTGTTTGCCAGGCTCCCTGCGCCTTCATGTAGGGTCTGAGCCCTAAACCCGAAACGCTAACCAGGGTTCAGAGATTCAGGGATTCAGGGATTCAGGGGTCAAGGCACATGGGTGAACTGAAGAGCCTGAGGGAGCAACACGCAGCCCAAGCCCGAACCCCAAACCCCCAAACCATAGTGGCCTCGGGTGAAACTCATCCCGGTAGGGGAAGTAGTCGTGGCGCGCCTCTGAGAAAACAGCCCAGCCCGAAATTCTATCCTGAACCCTTGGCCCTGCATGAACCCTAAACCCCTCACCCCCTACGCCCCTAAACCCCCCCAACAACGGGACCACATTGTAGAGAAGCGACCAAAGATGCTTAATTACTCTCGGTCTGGGGTTAGGATTTAGGGTTTAGGGTTTAGGGTTTAGGGCTTAGGGTTTTAAGGTTGGCACCTGCACTGAGCCCGCCCAGCGCCCAACCCAAGCCCACAGTCTCTGTTTAGGTTACGTCCTCCATAGAGTCATGACTCATACACTAAACCCATGAAGCCATAATCCTGTTCGGGTTTCACAATTCGTGTCTTACAAACAGGCGGCCGGGTGCATAATGGAACCTAGAATAGACCCAAGAGTAAGCTAGGAATAAACAGGGCGCTCGTTTTGGTTTAGAGGGGCTTATAAGGGAGACAAAACCCTGAATAAGGGCACCACTGGGCTAGCAAAAATGCCAACAACAATTGCATGCATGTGCTGGAGGGACACAGGGCTGGGTGACCAGGGGCCCTAAGCCCAAGTAAGGTCAAGAACGTCAACAAGGTCCTCTACTAGACCCCGATGAGGCTAATGAAGGCCCAGCTCAACCCTCTTCAAAGCCTAAAACCTAAACCCTAAACCCCAAACCCTAAACCCTAAACCCTAAACCCCAAACCCAAAAACCCTAAACCCTAAACCCTAAACCCTAAACCCTAAACCCTAAACCCTAAACCCCGAGTCCCTGGCCCTCTGCGCTTCTTCCTGATGCTGCGTGTAGTGGCTGACCGAACCTCAGAGAGAACCCTCTGCCAAGGGCTACGCAGCCCAGAAACCCAAAGCCCTAACCCTAAACCCTAAACCCTAAACCCTAAACCCTAAACCCTAAACCCTAAACCCTAAACCCTAAACCCTAAACCCTAAACCCTAAACCCTGAACCCTGAACCCTGAACCCTGAACCCTAACCCTAAACCCTAAACCCTGATTTAGGGTTCGGAGTTTGGGGCTTAGATTTCACCGTAAATGCCTAAGACCCCCCCCAACCTTGTCATGAGCTCGTTTAGAGCTTTAGGGTTGTTTAGAGTTTCAGGGTTTGAGGTTTAGCTTTTAGGGTTTGGGGATTAGGGTGGTTCAACAATCGGCGAAACAAAGGGCCCTAAACCCTAAACCCTAAACCTTAAACCCTAAACCCTAAACCCTAAACCCTAAACAGGGCCCTGAGTCTGAAAGGGCTCCAGGGCTTCAGCTACAGGTCGCAGAATTCGAGGTTTGGGGCCCTTCGAACCCAAATCCTGCGCCGCAGCCCTAAGCCAAAGAGCGATCACAAAGAAACATGGAATGCCCTCAGCCCGAAACCCTGAACCCTAAACCCTCAACCCTCCAGAACCCTAAGCCCTAGACCCCCAAACCCTAAACCGGGTCCTAAACCCTAAACCCTAAACCCTAAACCCTAAACCCTAAACCCTAAACCCTAAACCCTAAACCCTAAACCCTAAACCCTAAATCAACACCGCGACACCAAAGCCGCGCTCTGGAATGGGCCGCATCTGCACGAGCTCCGCGGCAGGGATGTACTTTGAGCCTCATTGGAATCCAGGGTTCTTGATGGGTTTAAGGTCTCCGTCCCCCCCCCTCCGAAAACCCTAAGCCCTCAAACCGTAAACCGTAAACCCTAAACCCTAAACCCGTCTGTCGAGACATCGGGCTTGAGCAACAGGGCTCTCGGACGCTTTCAAAGCGTACCCCTGGGTTTTGGAAGCAACCAAAGATTTGAGGCTCCAAAAATTTAGGCGAAAAATGACCCCAAGTAGTATAGGGTACGGGCTCTAGTTTTTGGATCTTCCCAGGTTTAGGGTTTAGGGTGTAGGGTTTAGGTTAGGATTGAGGCTTTAGGGCTTAGGGTCTGGGTAGTCGGAGGCCACGTGCCAGTGCCCGGGCTTAAATTTCACAGCCTTGGGGACTAGGGACATGAAGACCTCAGCACTTGAGACTTGAAGGAGTTAATGCTTTAGGGGTTGGGATTTGGGTTTAGGGTTTGGGGTTTAGGGTTTAGGGTTTAGGGTTCAGGCTTTAGGTTCAGGCTTTAGGGTTTGGGGTTTGGGGTTTAGGGTTCCTGCCTGACTAGGTTCTGGGAAGACCAAAACGCGTTTCGATGGCCTGCACCCTAACGGCCCCAGACGCGAAACACGCGCGAAACATCGCAGAAGCGCTCGGCCGGAGAGAAATCTCCAGTGACTTCCCGCAACACTTCTCAGACGTGACACCGCTCAGCGCGGGGGAAGCCGCCAGGTTTCCAGCACTGTTGGGCGCCACGTACTCATTGCCCCGGCGCGGGCGGGTCATGGAGCTAGGCCTGAACATCCGGCCGAGTCCTCTTCGCATGCGAGCTGGCGGCAAAAGTACCTGTTCAAGGGATCCTGATAGAAGAATGAAGCAGGCCATTCCGATCCGCTAATCCCAAACACCCTTGGAGCTTGCAGCCTCGTTCCAGCCACCCAAACTAACGCCTTTACCGATTGCAGGGCCCCAACTTACCCTTTTCAAGCCTCCGAGCCCTGAATTCCGAGACCCTTCGGCCCTCTAAACCATTTGGGGGCTTAGGGTTTGGGGTTCCGGGTTTAGGGTTCATAGGGGTTGGGTGGAGGGTTCGGGGTTTAGGGTTTAGGGTTTAGGGTTTAGGGTTTAGGGTTTAGGGTTTAGGGGTTGGGCTTTGCGGCTTTACAAAACCCCAACTCGGCCCCGACCTGCCCCCACTGACGAGGCGGAGGGGTCTGGATAGTCTTCACCTCTGGATCGAGGGGCTCCATGCTCTACAGGGTTTGGGGTTTAGGGTTAGGGGTTTAGGGTTTAGGGTTAGGGATTAGGGTTAAACCCTACACAATCAAGAGAGCTGAGCGCCGCTGTTGGGAGTCTTTGGTTTCAGCATTGGATTTGGAGTTGGGGAGCAGTCAGGCCAGGCTTGCTCATCCGCGCATTGTGACAAGGTGGGTTGATCCAAGTCGCGGTGCCTTCTTTTTTAGGGAGGGGGTGGTGTCTCTATATATTATAGCACAGTATTCCTCGGAGCTCAACAAATGCAATGGTTTCGACCAATCTCCACATGAACGGTAAAGCACGAGACATACTGGGATCCGATTGCAAGGAGCATGAAGGGGTATATAAGGATACCCTAACCCATGTACATACCCTACTATAGAACCCCCTTTAAGGCGTGTAGCCCTACAAGAACTGGCCACCCCTGAAACCAAAACCCTCAACCCCAAACCCCAAACCGAAACGCAGAACGCAAACCCCTAAACCTTAAACCCCCCGGACCCGACACCCTACTCCCCAACCCCTGAACCCAAAACCCCTGAACCCTAAATCCGACAACCCCTCAACCTCGCAACAAAACCACTAAACCCGAAAACCTAGTCTGAACCCTAAACCCTAAACCCTAAACCCTAAACCCTAAACCCTAAACCCTAAAACCCTAAACCCTAGCCCTAAACCCTAAACCCTAAACCCTAAACCCTAAACCCCGAAACCACTAAACAAACAGCTCCGGGGCCCTCTACGATGTCTCTCCCAGATCTGCAGTGGCCCTCGGCGTCAGGCAAGTTGGGGTGTAGGGTTTAGGGTTTAGGGTTTAGGGTTTAGGGTTTATAAGGGTTTAGGGTTTAGGAGGTGTAGGAAGGGGGGGGGGGTGCGGCGTGGTTGCTATGGGGTTTGGGGTTTATCGGGTCTTAAGAGGTATGGGGGCTGAGTCAGGGCTAAAAGAGGCTTAAGGGGTGCGTGGGGCTTGGGGGTTATAGCTTCTAAACAGATTTAGGGTAGGGTTTATAAGGCTGTTGGGCTGTAAGAGTTCAGGCTTTAGGGTCCATAAGAAGCTCAGGCGGGTTTAGGGCTTTAGGGTTCAGGGCTGGTGGGGGGTGTGGGAGGGGGGTAACAGGGTTTAGGGTTTATAAGGTCTTTGGGCCTATAAGGGCTTGGGGTGTAAGGTGTATAGCGGTCTGGGACGGATACGGGTTCAGGGCTTACAAGGGCTTGGGATTTCTAGGGGTCAGGGCATAAAGGGTTCACTGGTTTATAGGGCTTAGGGTGCTTGCTTGAGGCTATGAATGAATCGAGTTGCTAGAAAGGGGATCTCCCCAACATCAGGCACTCAGAACTCTGCACGGCACGTTCTCAGATTCCCTGCGCCTTCAATGTAAGCCCCGAAGCCCAAGGCCCTAAAGCCTTCCCTCATTCCTAAGCCTTAGCAGCCCCTTGCCTTCCTGAACCCCGAAGTCCGGGCAAGGTATCTGAATTAGGGTACAATGAAGTAGGGGAACTTGCTGTGGCTCGGGATCTGTCATCCCGTCGAACCGCTGCACAACCCTAAACCCTAAACCCTTCCACCCTAAACCCTAAACCCTAAACCCCAAACCCTAAAGGCCCTAAACCCTAAAGGCCCTAAACCCTAAACCCTAACTTAGGTCGATCTTGTGAGCCAGAAGCACGCACGCAGATTGTGCAGCCTAGCAGGTCTTGGGGTCACGGTTGGGATGTGCCCACTTATACGAACAGTCCCTCATAGGGATTACAGCACACCCTTTTATAATCCCTATTAAGGACTGTTAGTGTAAGGGGGGACAACCCTAAACCCTAAACCCTAAACCCTTGACCCTAAACCCTAAACCCTAAAAAAAGGGGAACATCCCAAGGGTCACAGGACTGGGGTGAAAGAGAATCTCTGCCAGCAAGCCTCCGTAGACCTCCACTTGCTGGGCCTTGAACTCGAAGCAGCGCTTGCTCCCGGCTCAGGGTTTAGGGTTTAGGGTTTAGTTTATGGTTTAGGGTTTAGGGTTTAGGGTTTAGGGTTGAGGGATCTCCATGCAAGCGCTCCGACGAAGTGCTACAGAGATTGGCCCGCAGTAAGTTTTCTGAGAAGGAAATCATGGCTGGAGGTACCCATCCAGCGCCAAGAAAGAAAGCCGCGAGTTTGGGCTGCTGGGGACTGATGGCTTCAACCCCAAACCCTAACTAAACCCTAAACCCAAAACCCGAAACCTAAACCCTAAACCCTAACCCTAACCCTCAACCCTAAACCCGAAATCCTAAACCCTAAACCCAAAACCCAAAACCCTAAACCCTAAACCCTCAACCCTCAACCCTAAACCCGAAACACCCTAAACCCCAAAAGCCTCTCAGTTCCCCACGCGGCCCAGGGCCCGCGGCGGACTCCTGGCAAGGCCTCGAAAGAGGTTCGACAAGTTGAGCTGTTATAGGGTTTAGGGTTTAGGGTTTAGGGTTTAGGGTTCAGGGTTAAGGGTTTAGGGCTTAGGCATGAGGCTTTAAGGCCTTTAGGTAATTTAGGGCATCGGCTTTAGGGTTTCGGGTTGACTAGGGCTTAGAGTTTAGCGGCATAGGCTTTAGGGTTCTGGGCTTTAGGTATTTTAGGGCTTGAGCCTCTTGCTCTTTTAGAGGGCTTCGTTGATTCAAGGTTTGAGCCTTCTCGGGTTTGCTGGGTTGGGGGTTTTCGGGCTTTCGGGCGCTTAGGGTTCCTTTAAGTTCAGTGTAGGGTTTCAGGGTTTAGGGCTGGTGGGTTTCGGGCTTTTCGTGCTTTCGGGTTTTCATCCCATGAGAAACCTCTGTTGTTGGGTTGCTGGCCCCTCAAGACTCTTGTACATTTCCATGAAGATGCTTTGTGTCAAACTCTAGAAACTTACGATTACGACACAAATCTCTATACCCCGAAGGCTTCGAACATCCTATGTAATCACGTCTCTCCCGTAGACCCTGCTAAGTTCAATACCTACATCAAACCTGAACCCGACGCCCGAAAGGCCCGCGAGCATTCGTCTGGCTGCACGGCCGAACTTGTGCAGGAAAACTTCGAGCGTTCCTGCGCAAGATTCCCTCTAGGGTTCCTAAGTATGGGCCCTCAGTTTTTTGTTCTGCTAGGGTCTATGACCCTTCTGCAGGGCATATACTTCGCACCCCGGTAAACAAGGCAAGGGACCATACTTCAACCCCATAGCTTCAACCCTGAACCCTGAACCCTGAACCCTAAACCCTAAACCCTAAACCCTAAACCTCCCCATGGGACAAGGTCTTGAGGCTGTGGGGTTTCTAGGGTTCAGCGCTGTTGGGATTTAACCATTTTGGGCTTTGAATTAATCAGTTGCCCAACACCCTGGCTTTAAAAGGTTTCAACTCTTCTTTGAGTAGGGGTTTAGTTGGGATTTAACCATTTTGGGCTTTGAATTAATCAGTTGCCCAAATACCCTCACTTTAAAAGGTTGCAGCTTTTCTTTGAGTAGGGGTTTGGTATACCCAACAAGTTTAAAGTTCATCTTTTTGGCTCCTAAGTGAAGGCTTTTGGGGAGTCGGGTTTTAGGATGTAGGCTCTTTTTCGGGCTGGGGCGGTGTTGGGGGCTAAGGGTCATGTTTGGCAGACTGCCTGGAGGCGTTTCCCCCGACTCCCCCCACACACCCGCATCCCGAAAAAACCTGTGACTCTTCCCCTAAACCCTGAACATCACTAAAGCAGTTCGTCATCGCCAGGTGCTTGTTTTGGAATGCCTTGCCCAACCCCCCACCCTCCCCCCCCACCCCCCACCCGTGTCGGATTTAGTGTTCGTGGATCCTGTGCAGGCACGCTAGGGCGAATGCATCCTGTTTAGGGGATTGGGGTTTAGGGTTGAGTGTTTAGGGTTTAGGGGTCTCCCTCTGTGATACCAGAAGCCCTGAACACTGCGTGGGAGTTGTTCCGCACTGCGACCTCCTTGTAGGGAACTTCCATAGCCGGATTCCTTACCCAAAATATATCTCGACCCTCAAGTCACCCAACACCTCAATGCCAAATCCAAGACTCCCCTTAGAACCTGAAGAAAAACATTTTTACCATTCCCTGAGGTTAGGGTTTAGGGTTTAGGGTTTAGGGTTCAGGGTTCAGGGTTCAGGGTTCAGGGTTTAGGGTGTCTAAGGGGGCACCAGAATCCAAGCCCTACACCCCACCCGGCCTGGCTTCGGAAGCCTCGTAGGCTTTAAAGTGCGATTGCGAAGAGGTGGTACCTCAAGGATTGCTACACCCACACGCGCGCGCGGACCTCCTGCCTCTTCGAGGGGTAGCAAGCTACGCGGTTTAGAGTTTCGGCTTAGGGTTTAGGGTTTAGGGTTCGAAAGAGAACCATAAAGAAATGGCAATACGTAGGATTTGGGACGATATTGCCCCTCTACCAAGTGCAATGCGATTCAGATTTCCTGCAGCCGTTCGAAGAACACATCCCGGTGAACCCGGAAAACCCTCCTGCTGAACCCCCGAACCTCTACCCCGTGAACCCGAAACCCAAAGGCCCTCTAATGATGAAGAACCCTACAAACCTAAACCCTAAACCCGAAACCCCAAAACAATGAAC